TTCGAAAATTCATAATTTAGTTATAGCTTTCAAGAATTCAAGATAACAACATTAGAATATAAGCTCAGATAAAATTACCTAATCAGTTTTATGAATTCATAATTAATTCGTCTTAGTTGAAAGAAGATCGTTCTGTTGATGCATTTGAATCTGATACTGATGAATATAATGAATCAAATTTGTAAATTTTACACACACACAAATTTCTTGCCTTGAAGAATGAAAGCAATAAACTTGTGAGGTGTATCCTAATTTTATAACAGTTGAAAACCCTTTCCTATCTCTTCTAGCTTCAGCTTATAATTCCTTACCAGAATGAGGTTTTAGAATCGCGTTAAATGCGAATGAGGAGCACAGTAGTATCAAAGTTCCACTGACTTCGGGACAGAGAGTTAGGATTCCTGAATAGCGCGCATGTGCCTTTTGGCTTCGTCTCTCTAAGCTGTTACTACGCTCGGCCGTATTACGTGCCCCTCATAGCTTCGATAGCTATTTTAATATTAAGGGCCAACTAGTTTAGAATTTGTGTTTGCTTCGGCTAAATCTCTTTATTTAGTCATTAGTTAGTTTTATTTCTTAAATTTTTTAGTTTAAGCCCACGTAGAGGCTTTGTTTTACGTCCTGAGAAAAGGGCCGGCCGTGAATCTTTATTTTTACCAATAAAGAGTAATTAAACCTTCTCGAGTTTAAATTCTAAGTCCTCGCTTAGTACTTCACTAGGTTGTTCAACCCTTAGTTAATAGATAAAAGGTATTAACATTATACAAACTCATTCTTTATCTTCACCAATTCAATTAAGTTTCATTATAAACTAGCACTTAATTAGTAAAATTTTAGAAAAACTGAGGTTTTTAGGAGGACATTTCTACTTATTTGGAGCATTCATAAATTTAAACTTAGTGTACAGACAAGACCTTCCAGTATTCAGTTCTGTACATCTGTAATGTCACAATTGCGGGATCATTTTAATTTTCTAACCCATTATTTTAAGTTAAATGACTTTCCTATCAAGCCTCATTTCATTTCTCTGCCAGAATGCAAATTTTCAGCAAGCGCGATTTTCAAATTAGGTAGATAGGAGGAAGTACTTAAAGGAAAGTTTTGCAGAATAAAATCAGAGCGTGTTTTGTCTGCTTGAAGACCACGTTGCTAACTTTGATTATCTAGCGATTAGAATTCTTGCCTCGTTGAATTATTCTTGCCATTAGGATTGTTTACGCAGATTTCAGTCAGAGCCAGCTTGCCCGATAGTTAAACAGTGAAACCGTTAGGTTGTACTTCAACTTCATTAAGTTTATATCCATTACCTTTTGATTTAAGCCAAAAGTGTTGGCTTCTGTAAGCACGAGTTAATGCCTAATGTTATATTTTATTTGATTTAATAAAAGGTTCTATGCACCCTTTTTCTGATTTTCTAGTACTTTAAAAAAAGACTTAGTGATAATTCACTAAGCAGTCTTTCAGCGTCGCGTACATTTATGTTAGCAAAGAATACACAGTACAATGCACATTTGCTGTAATTTTGATAAGCACTCACTTCATAGAAAATTAATTTTTCTGTTGTGTATTTGTCTTTTTTTAGATTATCGCAAAATCCATGCGCTTTGGATTAAAAATATAGCGAGTCTTGAACATTCTTTATCAGAGTAAGCACCAGCAAGAGTTTCTTTTGCAATGTATCTGAAGTGCCTTGATGTTGCTCAGCTGTTATCATCAAAAAGTATATTCGAATGCCTTCAAAATTGCTATAAACTTTAAAACGCAATTCTTTTATATTCAAACAGGAGAATGAATCCATACACCTATCAAACAAACACATAAGAAATTGCAATCATTATAACTCTATATAGTAACTTCATAAATGATTAACTTATTCCTTATTCTTTGCTGTGACTTAACTCGGTTACACTAGGTGGTCTTGAACAAAAGTTCAGTCAGCTACGTGTTCTATGTATTTTCTTCTAAATGTTGTTGTTGCTTGCATACGGGTTCGTAATAGATTGAATGGACACAGGTCTGATGATAGGCTGATAAAATTTATTTTATCAAAAGAAACACTTCAGACTTCTGGAACTTTACACAGAAATACTCATACAGGTGTTCACAGTAACACAGAGTACAATCAGTAGTCACATTTCAAACTACTAAGAACGTTAAACACAATGCAAGCAAAGCGCATCTAAAAGACGAAGCATTCGATACTCCGAAATCGTTCTGAAATAACAACTCACAACAACAACTGAGAACAGTTTCTAATTCCTCTTAAGCCGAGAATATTACATTTGGTAGCACGTGTTCCGGCTCGGTTGAGATGGAGCCCCTTTGGCTAATGACAACGAATTTTCCTGAAATAAATCTTCACAGTGACAGGCATTGATTGCACAAATGAAAGCCCATACATTGCAGGTCTAAGCAATTTCCTCACAAGTGCATTAAATATACAATTACATTTCGATTTCAGAAGCAAATAAATGGAGATAAAAATGATAGATATGCTAAGAACAGATGCTTTCTCCAGCCTTATATAGCTTTCACCCGCCCACTGAGATATTTCTAGTACTTTCTGCTTCTCGAAATTACTGAAAGGCATATAAAGGCAGAATTACGGTTACAGCTACACAGAGCATCAACTATAATTATTCAATTACTATGCCTATTAGAATGACGCTAGGACCGGACTAAAATATTGAAAAATGGTCGCCAAGTTTGACGACTTTTGCTATTTCTCACCAAATTTGGCGACAAAACTTAGTGGCTAAAACCATTATCAGCTATGCGATAACTCGTCAAATTAGCGAGATAGCCGTTTAGTCAATGTGAAATGGACTTGCCCCTGTATTCTTATTTTTCCGGCATAGTTTGTCTCTTAAGATTGTTCATGTTACATTACACAAAAAACTACAGCAGTTTAATAATATAATTTCACTAAAATTATCTAACTACGTACAAAATTCATAAAGCTATTACAACAGCCCTGTAAAATTGATTTAGGAATGTCTCAAAGAAGCTAAAGTTTTTAGAAGTTTTCTATGCAGGATTTAAGAGTTCTAAATATTTGTAGTAAGGAAAAGGAAAACAACTCCAAAACAGATCGATTTCTACTCCGAAATGGCATTATTAATCCAATAACAATTAAAAATATCTAAAAAATGATCTTTTGTGTATTATCATTAATATTTATCCTTCAAACGTGCAGGTTTTCACTGCTGGCTGAAGAGCGAGAAAGATTATTTAAAAAAAAAAAAAAAAAAAAAAAAAAAAAAAAAAAAAAAAAAAAACTTTTGACACGTCAAATGAAGCAAAGCGATTACTTTGGGATAATAAAATACAAATCTTAGAGCACAAATGACTGGAAAAGATTATTTTCAGCCATGAGTCTCATTGTGTCCATAGTTACACGCCTAACTTTGTAAGACGAAGCAAGGTTGAATCACGAAGACTTAAACATATCCAATCATAAAATACCATCAAAAACAAATATTTTGGTTTTTTTTTTTTACTGACGATGTCCCTGGAAATTTGGTTACTATTAACGGAATGATGGATTCTTCGAAGTATATAGAAATTTTAGAACACAGGATTATGCCATTCTCAAAGTCCTTTGTCGGGACATTTCAGCATGAATTGCCTCCTTGCCACAATTCAAAATCTGCCAGAAGGTTCAACTCAGAATATAAAATTATTGTACTAGATTGGCCTGAAAATTTATCAGACTTAAATCGTAGCACATTTTAGAGAAACACCCTAGCAAAATAAATTGTACGACAAAAGACCACATGATTAAAAACGCTGTAAAAGTGGGGATTCATTGTAAAGAAGTAAAAATTATGTACACGAGGACTATTAAAGTCAATGCCTAAGCGCATAATAAAGATCATTTGCATTAAAGGAGGACATATTTCTTATTAATTTTGTTATCGTTGCACTTTTGGGGAAATATTTGAATAAATTAATTCAAGTATCCTATTTCCCAAATAAGCAAAAATTTTTCTAGGTGTTTCTAGGTGTTAAATTCGACAATAAATTTTTATTAGTTATTGAATTGTTACTTTTTGTGATAAATAAAAAAAATAATCTATTCATTACCAGCATTTTTTTTTAAATATTCCTCGAAGATTTATATTTTATTCTAAATAAAATGACTTAGGCTATTGTAACAATAGTGCTGTGGTGGACTGTTTTTGAAAGCAAAACAACTGTAAACTTTTCATAAACTGTTAGGAAATTAACCTAAATGTTATGTTTTAGCACAAAGGAATTCCTTTCTGTATTATTAGCTTATGCAGTTAGCATAAAGAAGAAATATGAAAAATGTTAAATTAAAAATCTAAAGCCTCCTGAAAGTAGTAGAAGCCTCCTGGCTGCCTTTGGCGGTTCGGCCATCGTCTGAATTGTGATTTAGTTTCTTTTCTTTATTTTATTAAAAGCTTTGAGGAATATAAATAGTTATACAATAATTATTCTTAAATAACAATAACACAGCTTCTGAGTTAACACACCGAATAACGATTATTGGAGCTTTAAGATAAAAAGAACCAGCGTAATATTTGTAAATTTATTGGACTAGTTTCGAAGGTTTAAACATAGAACCTTCTTCTTCAGCTGCAGTTGGCGAATAAAATTTTCTAGAGGTATGTCACAGTCATAAAAATCTTTCAGTTCTCGTTAACGATCGTCCTTGCCTTAAGCTTTTAAGGAAATTACATCACAGTTGTTTTCATTTTCATCAACAGATGGCGCCAGTAGCTTAACTTCCTTCCTTGCACTATTATTGCTTGAACACAAGCTTCTCTTTCGTTACTAGCATTTCTGCAATGGAAGCAGACTGCTCAATATTTGAACCTGTGAAACTAATCCTTCAGATTTACAAATATTACGCTGATTTTTACAGCTTTAACACCTCCAAAACAGCTTCTTTTGAGCGGGTTTATTAACACATATTTTGCTTCTGAGAGATATCCAAGTTTTAAGACCTTTGTAAGTTATCAATGTATCAAGACTTTTATGGGATAAAAAGTTTATTTTTATTGCTTGTATACATCTAAAAATCATATATTAAAAACAAATGAACACATCTAAAAACAGCATATAAAAGACAACTTTAAATAAACCTGTTTCGCTAGTTCGCATCTTTCCTATAAAATGTGCGGTCACTTTAAACGTATTCTTTCTTTCTTTTTTTTTTTTTTTTTACTTTTTCATAGTACTCCTCTTTGTTGAAAACTGATACCAACTTTAATCTTTCTTTCTATACTCAATTTACAAATTTAGTGCAAAAAAACTCATAATAGTACATACTACATAATGAGCACATCTTCTTCGATTTCGTAGCTGAAGTACAAACATCACTGAGTTCACGTTATCAAAGTTAAATCACTCGAGCCTCATCTTTAAGTAGAAATTTCAAGCAGCTTCTGTAATTAAGAACAACTTTACTACAATTTCAGTACAAACTCCCTTATTCTGTGTTGTAATCAAATGATGAAGGAATATCTTCATAAAATGACTTGAATATTTTGCATTGAGTATATATAATAATAAGCAATATATCTTCATGAAAACTTTTTGACAACACGTATTTTTATTTCATTTCTTGAAAGTTTAGAAATAAAAACCTTTCTTAAATAAAGTGGTGTTAATGCTTGCTCATTACTTTCCTTCAAAAGATAGTGAAAAGTATGTTCAACAGCATATTTATCTCTGCATTAAATTATTTATTACTATTCTTTTTCAAACCATATAGATAAACTGTAAATTCGCTTGAAAGTTCATGGAGCCACTGAATCGTGTTTTAAAGGTTGATGCCGCCATAGCTATATCTTCAAGTCGAATCCGTATCTTTAATGCCATTCAAAAGTTTTGGGGATTGTTCTTCTTCGGAAATGGAACGCTTCCTCCTGCAAAATAATTAGAAATTACCATTAACGTCACATCGTTTTCACAAAGATAATTTATTTTTGATCGTCATACCGTTACAAAAAACAAAAATCTGCATTTTTCCTTTTTTTCCCTAAATGCTTTTCTAATCATTTTTCGATATTTTGCAATGTACGAAAGAGAAGGACATTTAAACTGTACTCATTTAAAAAAAAAAAAAAAAAAAAAAAAAAAAAAAAAAACATGAAATTCTTTGTTTCTGACAAAACGCCAAATAATTTAAAACACTGAATATTAGCCGTTTCACCTAGATTCTGTTTTATGGTGCAGCAGAATGTTTACATTATATTTATTCCGCAATTTCTCTTTACGTGTAACCCAAGTAGCACGGCAACGTCGTAACGACGTTGCAAAGTGCTCCGAGTGCAGAGTGGTCGTGGTAACTTTTACGAAGTCTTTACAAAGTTGCGAAGACGCAAAATATTTGCTGTTGCATCTTGACAATTTTTCGACGTCGCTGAAACGCCATGATATGACCGCTTTTAGACGTGGTCGTTTTAGCATCTTTTTCATAGTTCATCAGCGTTACTTTTAGAAGGAAAAGAGACTAAATCTGCTCTTTCAAGAATCTGAAGCCCGCATCAGATTTATTTTGCAATGTTTCATTACTTTATTTCATCTAAATATATTAATCTAAGGTAGATTAATCTAATGAAATATAAATTTAATATAATACTTGAATTATTAAATTTAATTAGTACTAAAATACGTGCTAAATTATTGTTAAAATTTTGTTCAAATAATTAATACTTAAAATATTTTTTTACATATTATAGCAAAATATTTAAAAATGAAACTAATCTTGGTTTAGTTTGGTTTATTTAATTATGGCAAAGCACACTAGGGCTATCTGCCTAAGGGGAGGGATGCCTTCGTGGATTACTTTCTAAGGGAAACTGGCTCGTACACACATGGGGAAAACCACGAAAACAGCCCATGCTGCCAGCCCGTTCGCGGGATTCGAACCTCGGCCCGAACTACCAATGTTCAGCGTCTTTACCACTCGGCCGCTGGTTGGCTGAAACTAATCTATAAAGTAAGTTATTAAGTTATGCATTTTATATATTTAAAAAAATCATATTTCCTAAATCAATGCAAATCACATGTTAGCAATTATTTTACTGCTGAAATATGACTTTATGAATTATTTTTGAAATAAGGACGAATTTATTTGAATTAATATGCTGACATAATATAATAAATTTTTACCGCATACAGAGCAAAAAGTACAATTTTTGCTAAGATATGATTGTGAAGATGTATTGACGATTATAAATGGGACGATTTTAAGAATTCCGAGAAAACGTCCAATGTTAAAAGACGTTTCATATCCATGCATATTTAACGGCTGTGCAAAATATCTGACGGAAAATTAATGGAAAAGTAGAAAGAAATATTAACACTTTTAATGGAAAACGACAAAATTAATGGCTTTGATAAATTACTAATAAATGTTGACATCAAAATTAGAGAAACTGTGAACAAAAATACGAAATTCATTACCTGTAAAAGTTCTGATGAACTGTTTGTTACGTTTTTGTCCATTTCCATGCATTTAAAAATGCTTGGTTTAATCTTAGTATACGGTACACTCGGGATTTGGCGTTATCGACATTACAAATGTTTTAGCGAGCCCGATAAATATTTTTTTTGTAAATATAATCTTGTGAACATTGTTCGTAATTCTATTCAGTTGAAATAATTCTTCTATGCCATTTAAAAAAGATTCTATTAAATTATCAGAAGAACCGTCGAAAGGTTTAATCAGTTTAATGCCATCGTATAAACCTCTGAAATGTTTAGACTAAACTGCTGTTCGAGAGATTGACATTCCATGTACATATTATTTGCTGGATAATTATGGAAACGAACATCTGAGGTCGAGGCTTGCGCGCTTTGGCTAGCTGCCAAATTCGAACAAGTCAGTTAACGGCGCAATAATTTCAAACTCCATTTTATTTTCAGAAATATTTTCTTCGCGGCTTTTTAATTCACCGTCGGAATTAAATACTAGAGAGTTTCAATACAGAAAGAGAACGACGTACAAAATATAATGATGGCAGTCTATTTTGAATTGAGGAGAAATCTTCGTGGTAATGCCGAATTTCTGCTTATTTTGTTTGTGAATATCTGCTTGCAACGTGTTAACACCGTCTATACAGATAAATAGTGTTCTGTTTTGGTATTTTATGACTTTCCGGGGATTAAAATTATATTGTGGTTTTCCAATCTTCAGTAGCTTCAGCGATGCAATATTTGGATACACGGATTATCGTTATACTTGTATACACGGATTCGGTTATAACGTCGTGCAATATTCGGAAACACGGATTATCGTTATATTTGGATACACGGATTCGGTTATAACGTCCTAAGTGCTATAGCGTATATCATTCATGTTAATCGATTATTGTGTTCATGATACAGGTTGGTGCTCAGACTTTGCGCTTATAATCGAAAAAATAGTGTTAAGGAAACATTAGCATTACTATGAAATATTGTAATCTATAATTATGCCATTTTATGTGCTTGTGATAACAAAGAAATTCATAATAAATAGAAACAAAATGTTTCATCGTGTGCTATTTAATGAAGAGCTTACTTTAACGTACTTAGCTTACTATCGTATACTATATTATTTAAATTTTTTCTGTACAGTATCAAAAGGAAAGTTATTGATTATAAAAAGTGCCTGAAATGATCATTGCAATCTAACACTATTCTAAAAATGTATAAACTAAAAATAGGTAAATACATTTACATATGATCTAAAGAAATGGTGGTAAGAAACATCAGCATTACTAGTAGACACTGAAATCTATGATTATTGCAGTTTTAATTGCTTACTATTTAAAAAACACATTTTTTTTATTAATTGGAAATTTTAGTTCTCTTACCTTCCGACTGCTATTTATACTTTCAAACACTACTAGTTCATGTTTTTTTCTTAAATAGTGCTGTCATGTATATTGTTTGTTAGGTTGTAAGGATTATGTTAATTTTATTAACAGTTAAATTTTAAGTTAAAGTTCCTTTCCTGTCAAATTCTTAACTTCAACTTACTACTTCCGGCCAGAACGTAGTTTTGGAATTTGCTGAATATTTAATGAGAAGGAGCGGTATTTAAACCACGAAGTTACTTACTGAGACAGAGAGAGAAACAGAGTTTCTGAACTACTCGCGTCTGCCTTTTTGGCCGCCCTCTCTCTCAAAGCTGTGTTACACTCGGCCGTACTCAGGCCCTTGCTAAGCTTAAAATAGGTTAAGGGGCCAACTCTCATTGAACCTTGATAGCTTTGGCTATACTTATTTAGTTAATCTTAGTTTTAGTTTAATTCTTGGTCTTTTAAGTTCAAGTTCTAAGTGCGGACTTTATTTGTACACTCCCAGGCGGAGTTTTCTTAAATCTTATCGAATTAATAAAGGTTTATTTACCCTTCTCTCTTGTTGTTTCCTGTCTTCGAACTCTAGCGATTATTCGCTTATCAGTTCCTAGGTTCCTCACTTAACTTAGAATTTCAAGTGAGGGACATTAACTCAACATTAACTTAGAATTTCAAGTGAGGGACCTTACAAGGTTATTATTTCATTTTAGATATGAATATGAGAAGTTATTAGATTTAGGTATATTTTTGATCACATTTATTAACTACTTTATACTCTCTTTCATTTGCATATCTTGGAGATATAGAAGTTAATGGTTATATTTTTTACTGCGAAACGCGAATAAATTTATACTTGACTTCAGGTAAAATACTGATTATGTATAACCACTTCTTAATTTATCATGATTTATTATATTTATCATTCATATTATTACAAGGGCAATTTTCAATGCCTGTGAGATTTAACAGAAATAAATGTGATAATGCTGTTATCAGAAACGCTCTTTTTTTTTTTTTACTCACCTATGTATCTTTACTTTTATTTATGTCTAATTGAGTTTTATTTACTTAAAACCTACTATTAATGTTATATATTTATAATAACCACTTTCATAATTACTCTCACTTAAGGAAAAAATTTATGAAATCTTAAATAAACGTAAGTTAGAATTTAAGTTATTTAAAAAATATAGTTTAAAGTACTGAAAATAATTAAGGCTATTATTAATTATGCATATTTAGTCTAAAGAGAAAAAATTGTATTATCTTCTAGTTTTCAGAAATGATAAAATATTTAAACTTACAAGAAATAAATACAAGGAATAAAAATTTTAAAAAAGAAGAAAAATATATTAATTATTAAGCTTATTTTTCTGCATAAATCAATATGTAACACAAGGACATAATAACGACATTTTCACAACTGTTGCAAAAAAGTGGCGAACATTTAGGCGTCTTTAAGACAGCGTGATACGATGCTTTCACAACCCAAATATCACCTGCGAAAGACGCAATAACGACGTCTATGCGACAAAAACCTCATCCGCAAAGACGTAATAAAGACGTCTTTGCAACGGTTGCAAAACAGTGGATGTTCGCGGACATCTGGGCGTCTTAAAGACAACATATTGCAATGTTTTTTGCAACGACATACGCGACGAGTTTGCAACGTCGTTACGACGTTGCTGTGCTACTTGAGAACATATGTTAGTTGAGTATTAATTAGAGAAAAATATGGGAGGGTTCTTTGCCGGTAAAAGAATGCTTTCATGGTTCACTTTTCATGAAAATCAGCAGATGGATGTCATACGTTGTCTGCTCAGAAAGTTTGTGGACTGACATTATCTCTATATCTGGCAACACTAGCGCGATGCTGAAAGATGACAGACAAAATTGGAGTGTTCTTTTATCTCATTAGTACAATGTTTGTTCTGTGAGATTTGCATAATGGAAATAACGAAGTTTTATAAAATTGTTATTTATTGTGTATAGTAATATAGAGAGTAATAGTTAGATAAATCCAAAAGTTCCCGTCTCACCATATAAAAAGTCATTTGGCAATAACGTCATCTTGC